ATCATCCTCAACCTTAGGACTAATTTATCCTCGAGGTAAACCCTCCAGAGCCTTCTGTACCCATTTTTACAGCTGACTTAGGTATTGCTATGGCAGAACCAACACTTGCAGTAAGGGCTGATCATTAAACCATTATGCCCTTGTAGAGTTCACACAAACCCTAGCATCTACTTCACAGCATATCCAAAATACTTTAGTATACCCCTGCCGGTTTACCAAACTTCCAATCCAGATAGCCCGGTAGGACTTACGACTGGTTCATTAGTATATCAGGTCGGCCCGATATCCTTTTTCTCTGGCTCGATCCGGCGGCCTGGTTGGTGGTACCCCCACTTAGAGGTTTTTGCCCGTCCGGCTACTTCAATCTTGGTATCCGTTTCATAAAGCTAGCCTTTACAGTAGGGCCATCGAAGATCTGGCTACCTCTCTACTCAAGTCTTCCCAAATGGACTTCTTGTTACCCAATTTTAACAGATTTACACGGCCACAAGGACTTATCTAGTGTTTGCACCGCCTATTGCCGGTTTGCATTCCTTCGTGTAACCACAACCTTGTCCCAAGGAACTACCCCAGTATCGCCAACAAAATTTTTCCAGTCACGTGATCATTAGTTTAAGTATCCAATCATATCACTTCACGTGTAAAGTTAAAATATCAATTATCATCAGTAGCATAAAAAAAAGTTTTTTTTTTAAAAAAAATGCTATAGTAAAAAACAAAATGCATACTGATATTTAAAGGATTGATATTTAAAGAATTGCAATTTTTTAAAAAAAAACGCTTTAAGATCAAGATGCTGCACTTAGTAGTTTTTTTTGTTTTTAATGCCAAATATCATTATTATAATTATAACTATAATTTATTAAATAGTTATACGAACACACATATATGTAATTTGGTACCAATTATAAATTTAATGCCTTAATTTGGGCAAACCATTCCGGTTAATGTGGCTTAAAATATATGTTAATAATCGAACAAAATGCTACGTTATGGCTAAATTAACTAAGTACCATATTAACGGAATAAACTACGCTTAATAAATAAATGCTACATTATATTACTCACGCAATTAGATCGCCACGTTATATTTGAATAAATTATTTAACTCGAATGAATGCCACATTAATTTATTTGATTTAATCAAATTCTATATTAGGTATAATCAATAAATGCCACATTGTTATTATACTGTATCGGTATACTTATGTTTGAATAAATGTCATAGCTAAATTAATTAAGTGCTGCATTAGATTTGTCAAATAAACTGAGCTTAATAAATAAATGCCATATTATATTACTTACGCAATTAGATCGCCACGTTATATTTGAATTAATGCTTGAATGCCACATTAAATTATTTAATTTAATCAAATTCCATATTAGGTATAACGATAAATGCCACATTAAGTTACTTACGTTCGAATAAATGTCACATTAAATTTAACTTGAATAAATGCTGAAAATGCCACGTTAATTAACTACTGAATAAATGCATCGTTATATTGGCTACTATTAAATAAATAAATGTAAATTGGTCAAAATACCCCGATCACTATATCAAGATCATGACGTAGTATTTAGTAAAAATGTCCTGATCCATAAGTGTACAAGTGGAAACGAAGTTGCCACTAATACGCAGTGGATCAGGATATTTTTATTGCCACATGTAACAGTAATATCATTGATCGTAGTCTTCTAGTTGCAATTTGTCGTGTCCATCTTGTCGCTATGAACCATCATGACCATTTTATTATACTAATCGTAGCCATTCTTACAATTGTAAAGTAATAAACACAAATAATAGTGCTAAAGTATATAAACCAAAAGAAGTCGCATTAATAAAGAAATTCAACGTTTGAAATTCAACATTTAATAAAATAAAACATATACTTACTATTCACTTGTTCATTTTTAAACAAAAAAAAAATAAATTGAGAATTATAAATTTTAACAAATAAAAATTCAATTCAATACAACCTGCCTTAAAATTATAGTTTACTACAATGGAAACTTCTAGTTCTGCGTGTACTGACTGTGGAAAAAAGAAGCCTATTAGCGAATTTACAAGAATCAGAACAACTGGCAAAATGAAACAATTTCGAACATGTAATAGCTGCTATATTAGAAAATCTAAACCTCCAAAAAATACCAAAAAAAGACAGTTAGAAATTAATGAAAATGAAGACCAAGATAATGAAGGTCAAGAAACTGAAAATGATGAAAATGAAGACCAAGAAAACAATGATCTAGAAATAATAGATCCAACAAACCTTTATGATCATTTCACACAGCTTTTAAATACATATTTGATGCAACCTAACGACGATTCAGGAAATGTGTTGCCATTCCAATTTCAATGTGGGATAGACATATCAACATTTGATGGGTCAGAAAAGGAAGTTGTAAATGAATTGGTTGAATTAATTGAAGGTGTGGACGAATTCTCATGGATGTATGTATTATTTTTGCATATTTACCTTAAATTCTCAAATAACAGGCATGGACTTTATTTCGAATTTTGGCATGAATTAAGCTTAATTCAGGCCAAAATTTGAAATAGTACCCATGCCCGCTATTTTGAGAATTCACAAATATCATTAAACCTTACATTTGACAAAATTTGTCCAAAAGTTATCATCATGTGTATGTAGGAAAATCCACAACAACATATTGGTATTATTGCTCACAATCAAATATTTTGGCGGCTAAACCAAGAAAGCATGAAGACTCTTCGAAACACCGTGATAAACCGTCAATAGATCGATTTGATTGTAATGGTGTTGTTAAAATTATTACTAACCCATCAACTAATACAGTAAAATTAGTATTAAAACATAAGTTAATACATGCACCACCAAAAGATGTAGCAGTACCTCAAAGTGTCAAAGAATTCATTAAAGAAAACATCGACCTGCTACCACGGGAAATATATTCACAACTTGTTGATAACGATATGAGTATACTTATTAGACAAAAGCAAATTCATTTTTGGTGAACAGAGCTAGGAAAAAATAGATATCGGCGTCAAGATGATGCATTTGAGTCAGCTATTCAGTTGCTCAACGAACAACAACATAAAATAATCTTAGAAGAAACACAACCTGTTCGTGCCTTAGCAATTATGACAGAACTTCATGATTGTCTGTTAAAGGCGAATATTAATATTCATGAATGCGGTATCAATGCAACTTGTAAGTAAAATATTTTACATACCTGAATTTAATATTATAATTAGCTATATGTAGTATATAGATATGAACGCAATGCTGTAATTGATCATAATTATAATGAATTATGGCATTTTTTGCCATAATTCATTATAATTAAGATCAATTACAGCACTGCATTCACATCACAAAGCTAGTATTACCAAAATTCATATCTATAATTAAATATTATAATTTTTACTTGAACCTTATAATATTTAATTTCAGATAATACTAACAATTTCGGAATGGAGCTCTATTGTTTTCAGGCTGAGGTAAATGGTACAGGATTTCCATTATTTTATTTGTTTCTGGAAAATAATGGAAGATGCGGTGAAGGAATACGTACTGCAGTTATCCAGGCCTTTCTCACCAAGCTACGTGAAGAAGGAATTCAGCCAGAATTTTTACTAACAGATAAGGACTTTGCTCAGATTAATGCTGCGCACTTTACTTGGCATGGTATTAAAATCCAACTATGCAAATGGCATATTAAAAGAGCCGTAATGTCTCGATTAGCAAGTAATAAAGAAACTAGAAGCTCTACGTTCAATCCATTATCCGAATTTGGAACTCGGTTCCCATTCGAAGGTATCGTACAATCATCTAAGTTTTGCCCCAAACAATACCGGGAAACAATTTGGAAGATGATGAAAAAACATTTTCATCAACATCCATTAATCCCCACATGTGATGGTCATTTTATTAATAGAACATTAATATGAGAGAATGCAATTCAGGAGGCATATATTTTCTGTAAAGAAAATTCATTGATTTCTCTTTGGTCCTATTTGTGGTGTGAATGGTATAGCGATCAGCAGTGGCCATTATGGGCAAGATCCACCTGTGAGAATAAAATATCAGTTCTAAAGACCACTATGTTTGTAGAAGGGCACTGGAAAGTAATAAAGAGAGATTTTCTCTATAAGTTCTTTCGTCCATGCCTCGACTTGGTGATCTATATTATAATATCCAAGGTAATAACTCATCAGGCATGAAAACTACAGCAAATATTGATCGGAAAAGAAAAACCTGAATGGCTAAAACAGTTTAAATCGGAATGGAAAACATTATCAATGCGCACTATTAATGAAGCATATATAACAAATATAAACCAATGGATATGTGGATGTCCATATTACCTAACCAGTCGGTTTAGCATTTGTAAACACTTGGTGCAACAAAAAGGGCCAGTCACCAGTGAATTTTTCGATCGTATAAAAAGAACCCGGCAACCTCTATTTTTAATAGAACAAGACCAAGATCCTGTCGAAATGCAACCAGAATTAGTTATTTCGTATAGCAATATCGACAGCAATGATAATGCAAATGAAAATATTAATGCTATTTATGATGAGTTGATAGCATTAACGACGAAAGCATTAAGGCTTCTCGAAGAACAAAAGGCAGCCGAGAATGCACCATGGGTCAGGGGCATAAGAAAAAATTTTGATCCGATTAGAAGGATGGTTAAAGAAGTAGAAAAATATAAAAGTAGAAAAACATTACCTTTAACTTGGAAGGATCACACCCACAATACACGCTTTTTAGACAACTAGTTCCCAAGTTCAGTTTAAGTGCAGTTTATAAGGTAGATTCGGTTTAGTTAATGAAGTATATCCATATTATTTTACCTATCTTATTCAATAACACGACATAAAATAAAATCTTCCATAATTAAGTTGCTACACATATTTAGCTTAATTCTTCGTAAATTCTATTGTAAATATAAAGTTTTCAATAAATAAATAAATAATAAATAAATAAATAATACTGTTATAAATAAAAGTGTATACTTATGTTTTTTACTCTTTCGGAGTCTTTAAGCACAAGTTTTTTTTGTATTTCAATTAATAATCCTGTTAAATGAGAACGAAATCGCAAAAAATTTTGTATAGTACGAATAGTAAGTATATCGTTATTGAAATACCAGACGCAAGATTTCTTACAAATACAGTACTGCGATTTGATTGGTTGATCTTCACGTGACAGGAAAAATTTTGTTGGCGATACTGGGGAAGATGTCCCAAGGGACAATGTCATGTGACCTGTTACACGAATGCCCTATGACCTACCAGTCATGCTGGTGTGACCGCCATTACAGGTATCCTAACCCAATCGTTAGTAACAGTTGCTGTAATACGAATATTATATAGGTGATTATCCAAATTTTCACTGTCGATGGGATTTGAACACCCAACCTACCACTTGGAGGGTTAACAACCTGACCACTTCACTAGATCGCCACACCCTCATAATTAAAAGTTTTTATATTTTCTCTCTAGTCATAATAATTAAAAAATATTTTGAAAAATTAGAGTCTTTGCTCTCACATGTCTGGGACATCTCAAAGCAACTTTATATACCAAATTTGAATGTTTCGCTTGATGAAATGATTATTTAATTTTTTGATAAAAGTGTTTATACAGTTAGAATTAAGAACAAGCCAACACTGGAAGATTTTAAAATTTTATTTCTCTGTGAATCTGGGTATACCTATATCTTTCTACCAATATCATGCATATTCTCTAGTAATATAATAAAAGTAAATAGTCTTAGTCAAATGAGTTGTTTTGTTTACCATCTTGTTAAGCAACTCCTATATTATTGACTTCCTTACAATGTATTCATGAATAACTATTTTACTAGCATTTCTCTTTATCAACATTTTAGAAGTATCAATATCAGTGCTTGTAAAACTATTCGAAAAACTTTTTTTGGTTTTCTAAAAAAATTAAAGATAGATAAAGGTGTTAAACTTGATTGAAACATTCATTCTGGTATTAAAATAGATGGTACATTGGCTTTTTTTGGCAAGATAATGGGCCAGTTACTATGTTGTCAACATACATGGTTTAGTTAATAATGAATAAAAAGTAGAACAGAAAAGACAGCATCCAAGAGAAACAAGTATAAATGCAGCAAAGATGTGCACAATATTTGGTCTTAAATTAAAAAAAATTGAAAAAAATTCCAAAGATAGTTGATGATTACAACTATTATATGAATAGTGTAGATGTTGCAAACTAACTGCAATTATACTACAATATGCAGCAAGTAACAAGACAAAATTGAATGCCACTCTTTTTCTAGTTTCTAGGTATCACAATTATCAATTTATATCAAATCATCTGAACTTTAGAATCAACTAAAGAGCATAAAGAATTCCATATTGAGCTTGTCTGGGACCTTATCAAATTTGCAAATAATACTGATAGTGTTTAACTAAGAAGTAATTCAAAAGAAATAGCTAAATTTAAAAGAGAGACTAAGCAACCAAAGGTGATGAAGAATTTTGAGCTTTCTGATCAATGGCTAGCATTTAAGAACTACTTGTCTATGTTGTGAGAAGAATGGAAAGGATGTCACTAGTATGCATGGTTGGCAAGCAAACAAGAAATAAGCATAAATTGTAAGATACCACATAGAAGTAATTAGTAGTATGCAGAATGCAATAAACTCTTTTGTTGCAATAATATTCAGAATTGTTTTATACAATTTTATACCAACAAATAATGAAAGTTTTTTTTTACTTTTCTCTTTTTTTTTTTTTTAATTATAGTAAACATGTATTTTATTTTTAAAATGGATTTTGCACAATAAAGTTTTCATAAAGTAGTGCTTGTTTATATAATGATATTTTTAAAATTACATTTATAATATAGCAAGTAATAACTTAATAAAGAGATTGAGCTAATTTATATTAGTTTTAAAGGTTATTCCTAAAGTGTGTGATGTTAAATGAAGCAAGAATTTAATATGTATAATAATACAAATATAATATCAGAGCAAAGTAAATCAATTTTGTAAAGGAAAAAAAAATTAACAATCCTATATACAACTCTCACTAATGCATAGCAATATATTTTATTTAACATTAATACTAATATATGATTATATGAAACTTTCTTATTAACTCAAATAACTGTATTTGCTTTGTACAATAAAGTGTGCAAAATTTACCTGATATAAAAAATACTTGATTTTAACCTTTGTTCAAGATATTACAAATGCAATATTCATCTAGTACAAAATAAAACATACCTAATATTGTCTAACTTGAATGACACACTTCAAACTTGTACAATTTTGAACTACAGAATGTACTAATTTAGTTAGGGTCTAATTTGTCAAAGTGATCTAAAAATTTTAGTTATTTAAAAAATTTTGTTATGATTTAAATGAAGTTTACAAGTTTGAGTCACATGAAAGATGTTACACCACAGAATGTAATATGTAAGTTGCAATTTGAAAGTACATCATGTGATTCAAAGTTCTTGATATCAATCCTAGCCAATTTGAACAAAACCTTATATAAAAAAAAAAAAAGATATGTATAGATATTTTTTTAGCCATTTTTAGCATGCAAATTTGTCTGCTAAAATGGATGGTTTAAGGAATAATTATATTTTTATAAACAATTTTAAATGCTTTAAATTACAAAAAATCTATAATCAAAATTTTTTTGTACTATAAAAAAAATTTTATTCATTATTTTGACTAGAAATATAACATATTTATAGTTTAATAGATCATATATTCTTTTTTATCTGTATATAGTTTTTATTTTTTATATTTTTTGATTAATTGTATATTTTGAATTATACAAAATAAAAATTAATGCTAATACTACCTTTTTAATAACAATTTAGTTTAATAAAAGTTATAACTATACATGGCTTCTAAAATATACTAACTATATTTATTTATCTAACAAACTCTTTATAATTATAAAAAAATTTCTTTTTATTATTTTTTTTGTATATTATTTTGTAATTATACTTATTCAAATTAAAACTCAGTTAGCCAATAACAGTCATAAAACATGTCTTAACTAATGATTTTCCTAGCTAATAATAATTTGAGAATCATAATTATAGTTGCTAAATAATATTAATATTAAAATTATGTATTAATAAATATTACAAAATTTCATCCAATCAGACAAATGATTGAATAAATTTTGTGATATTAATCATTGTATAATCAATATTATATATTTATTAGCAAGCATCCAAACTTGTTATTTTGTAAGCTGTCTTAAAATATATTAAATCTATTATTAAATTATATATACATGTGTAATTTTTTTTATTAATTTAATAAGTCATTCATGTATTTTTTTAAGTTAGCAAAAGGTTGACAAGTTGAAAAGATAGCTAAACCAGTCATGACCCTGTCAGGTTATGCAAACAGTTTGACCAAATCAAGCAAGTAAATAAGCTAATACACATGAGATAGTATATGCAATAAAATGTACATATAATTTAATTAGTATCCAATTTTGAAATTATTAAATTATTATTATTATTTTTTTTAATATTAGTAATAAGGCTATGCCTCTATTTTATTAAATATTTAATTAAGATTTTATATAGAGTACAATTCTGTTTTTAAAATATTATAGAAAGAATAGAAGCTCAAACTAATTTATCTATGACCTAAACCAACTAGAATGGCCAAGGCTTATCTAAATTTAATTGTTAATAATTATATATAGAAGATTAGTTTGATATTTAATCTATTAGATATATCAGAAGTTTATTTTTAAACTAATAGAATTGAGTAAAAAAGAATGTAATAGAGGTAAGACAGCATTTGAAAGTGTATTGTATTTAGAAAGTTGAACTGTAGATCTTGAAATGTAGTATAGAATTCAGATTTTACAATAAATTTGTTAGTTAAAATAAAGTAAAAACTTAATAACAAGTGTTGTAGCTACTTTTTTAAATGAAAGACTTGCAATAATATCAATAAGTTTATTTGGTATTAGACCAGTTAGAGTTAAGAAAACTAAAGGTAAGTCTGGTATACTGTAAATAGTTATACTACTCGACAGCTTAATTTGGTTATGTAAATTAATTATAGTATTTAAAATAGTGTCAAGTGTTTTAGTATTTAAAGTATGTTATAATGAAATGTCAATAAGACTGTATAGCAATTAATTAGATAGACAAGTTGTTTAGTGAAGGTGAAAACTGATTTGATGACATTGATGACACATGGGTGAGTATAAGTAATTTCATTTATATAAAATATGTGAAGTAGGAAGATCATCTAGTAGAATTTTAATTCTAAAGAATTTAAGAGTAGAAGACTGAAAACTACATGAAAAGTTTGAGATTTTTTGGTTGTTGTTGATATATAGCCAGGTGGCTTGTCAATTAACTTGGTTAAAGATTTTGTATTATTTTTGAAAGTAATTTTGTGTAATCTATAATGTATAAATATGTGTATAACATATTGTATAAATACTATGATGAGTAAGTAATTCTAAAGAAAAGTTTTTAAAATTTAAAGTATATGTGAGATTGTAGATATTATAAGACATAAAGATAAGATATGGCAGGTTGTAGTAACTGTGTATGAGTTGGTCTGCAAAGTTATTGTATTGATCATTCTGATGAGCAGTGACTTTGTGAAAAATAATATAAATATTGTATGATTTGACAAAGTTAATAAATGTATTTTATAATGAAAAATATAATGTATGTGTATAGAATAGAGTATGGATTGAGTTTGAAAAACTGTAATATTTAGAGATTACAGACTGTGAATCAGTATATATATATATAGTACTATCTCTAGAAGCAGTAATAAGAGCTAATAAGATAGCAATAAGCTTGAACTTAAATGAGCAAGGCCAGTATCTTGTTTGGGCTTGAAATGTATGCAGTATATTGTTGTTTAAAATCTGGGCCTATCCAATACCTATAGAGCATTGTGAAGTATCCAGATTAATAACAGAGAATCTGTATAAAAATAAAGTTCTGATAATTGTATATTGTAGTTAGTGATTTGTTAAAGATTGTTTGTTAAAGTACCAGGTTCAAATATAGTTGAAATTAGGTTTGTTGTAATGTTAATATTAGGGGGGCTAGAAATTTGAATAGGATATTAAATTGCAATAAAGTATATAAGATCAAGATAATTGGCATTAAAGTTAAGAGATTTGTTATATGTATTAACTTGACCAAAAAATCTGAAAGAGAGGTTGATAGGGATATTAATTGTATATTTATTGCTAATTGTATAAGAGTTAAGAGAACAATCTAGGCATGCTTGTAATTAAATAAATAGAAGTAAGTAAATTGTTATTCTATATGACATTGCCAGTAAGTAATAAGAATAATTTCTAAAGAAAATAGTTGTCTTTTGGCTTTTTCAATAATAATTTGATCATCAAGTACTGTAATGAGTTATAGTTTTTTCATAAAAAAAGTGTCTAGTTAAATAACTATAGTAATTAGTACTAGGTAAATGTAAATATTGGTGAAGAGTATGATTATATAAGTGGCTTGTAGTTTGGTCTTCTAAGTAGCTAAACCAAAGTAGTAGTTTGCCTTTAAAAATTTTGTTTATATATAGAGATATATATTTCTATTCTAGAAGATATAGTCTAAGTAAAGAATAAAGTAGCATCTAAGTTGTTTTTTAAATATTGAATATTTAGTATATGATAAAAGTATTACTTAAGTGAAATAAATCCTTCTTGAATAGTGTATGAAATATTGTATAGTGAATTAGATGTAAATATTATATCAAAATGTTTAAAGAGTCAAATGATTTTGAAATTAATAGTATGTTTGTTAGGTCTATCAATAATAGGATTATTATATATCAGAATACTAGTAAATGATCACAAGTTGTTCTGAAGTTGTTGAATTCTAATACAAGTGCTTATCTTCAAAAGATCAGAAGAATTGAGCCTTTTAGTAAAGTTTGTAATATAATATTATAGTTGAATATTCCATATGTTATGAATATTGTATAGCTAAGAGTAAAGCAGTATACTAGTAGGAATTGTGTGACTAAGTTTGGCTTTGTTTTTAGCAGGTCCAATAAACTTGTAAGGATTTTTTCATATGTATTTTGATTAAGAACAATGTTGTGAAGTTGATATTCTATTGTAGGAATTATGATATATTAATAATATATTATGTATATGTTTTAGTAATTTGCTTAGTGCCTGCAATTTTGATAAGATGTGATGATTCTGTCATAATAAGTTTGGTTTGTTTAGTTAGTTTATTATTAAGTATAAACCAGCATTCAAGAAATTTAAATAGTTTATTTGATGAATAAAAGTTGAGAAGATGGTTGTTTTATATGATAGGAGTATAGTTAATTTGTTTATTATTAGTTGTAAGTATAAATTTAGTAGGGTTAATCTGAATATTGGCCATGTTATAGAATAATTCAGCTGTAGAAAGAATTTATAATAG